AAGAAAAAGAACCTGATTTTTGATAAGTAGTTTCAAATTTTAACAGACCGCAAAATCATTTACGGTAAATCAAGATCGGTGTTTTGAATTCTATCTAAATTGTGGTGAAATATTGTTGAAAGGAGGAAAAACACATTTGTTATCTTTTATATGATTACCGTGGTTCGCAGCTGCATTATCTTTGCCTGTGTTTATCAAGCTATGATATGATTGCTAATCAGTATGAAAACAGCTGGAATCTCGCTACTCAAAAAGCTCTCCGGAAAAAATGACAAATTGGATGGCTAATTTTAGTTTTCTAGCGCAACTCCTCCACTTTTTAGCTTAAGTTGCCCCACCTGAGCGAGAAAAATTAACCGAGTTCTGTAGCAATTTTAATTTGAAATGTACAAGGCTCATAAAAGACAATAAAACAGTAATAAAATTGTGTCCACAGTATTTACACTTCAAAATCTTCCACAGCGGTGCAAGTGCTTCAACTTCTGCGAGGTCTTCTCGTTCATCCACGTTAGGATCAGGCTTTTCCACGCGGTCAGCTGCAACTTCAGAGAGCGATGCTGAAGTCGAGGCATTAGATAATGTACGGGTTGTTGCAAGGTTGGTAATTTTGTTTCGGTCGAAGTTTATTTATGGTGTATATTTATGTTAATTTTGCCGTGACCGTTTCCTAAATTATATAACATATTCGATTCAGTCCTATCAAAAATTTTATTCTGATAATCTTGTAAATAACGATTATTGCCAAAAAACATATTTTGTTAGAATATTATCATCGTTGATGATATCAAATCAGATTTTTGAAGCCTTGACAATTTATTTTAAAATATATGTTGCTATGTAACTTTATGAAACGTAATGTTAATAAAAGTCTGTTGTTTCATTTTGAGCCGTTTGCAAACAGACAGCTTAGCAAAGAAAATTTGCATTTCTATGGGTCTTTTCTTCCAGCATGGTGTATTGTTAAAAACTGGCTGTCTGACAGCTGTTAGCGTAAATAGCAAAACTAGCTGCCACTCACAGTTTTGTCCAATTTATCTTATTCATTGTTGGACCATTGCTAATGAAAATGTATTGGTATACGACTTTACCTGTGGCATTAGCATACAGCTCTGTTGGAAAAAGCATGCAATCAAATGAGTTTAACTTCTCCTGCACTGTTGAGGCCCTGCAACCGACAAGTGACATGGTCCAAAAAGTAGCGACAGCGCGTAAAATGAAATCGCGACAAGAGACAACCTCCCCCGACCAAATTGCGACAGTGACAGCAAAGCCGACAATAAGCGACAAGCATTTATAAACACTGACACGAGATGTTTTAAAATTTAGACGGGCGACATGGGACCCCCCCTGGCAAGGCCTCACTGTTGACCTGGGCGCACTTGTTCGAAGGTCGGTTAGCGTTTAACCCGGGGTTAAATTTAACCTGCGTTTCTTTTTCTTGTCTTCTGAAGCATTTTCGAGGATAATTTTCTCTGTTATTTTGAGAGCTTCCAATCATAATCTTGTTGACAAAAAGAATTAAAACTGAAATGCTTTTTAAGTTTTCAAATCTGAATTAAAATCTCGCACTAACCCTGGGTTATCTTAAACCAGCTTTGAACAACTCAGCCCTGTAGCACAGTGAGGACGAATAGTAATGAGACTTCAATAATGTATTGACCTGGCAATTTTCTGCCAAGTTACTGACACCTTAGTGCTTTTTGGGAGATAAACAGAATGCTTTATTTTGGTGGTCATGCAACCTAGAGTCAAAGTTGCTTGTCGTTCGAAACATTGGGGAATCTCCCCATTCAGATAGGGGATATTTCCCCTTGTGAATGTCATGACAATATACCAAAGAATGAACCGCTTTTATTTGATTAACCACCCTGAGTGTTTATTAAATTTTTGGACCTTGAGAGTGGGCGCTTATTCGAGGTAGGTGCTTATTCGAGGCTGGGCGCTTTTAAAAAATTTTCACCATTTTCAGCAAGTGAAGTATGTTTATTTTGCAACAAAACAATAAATGCTAACGACAAAATGCGAAGAAGTAAAAAAGCAAGATTTCTGTAAAATACTCTGAAGAAAACTCTGTCTTCGGGGAAGTCTCTTATTAGAATTTATTCACTCAAGGGGGTGGGGTGGTGGTGAGCGCTTATTTGAGTTTGATTGGGAGTTGTCATTACCTAAAATATCATAGTTTACTGAGCTGAGTTCTAAGAAAAATATATTGTGGGAGCTTAAGCTTTCATGGTACCCATTCCTTATATTATATTATTTGCTGATACACAAGCCCAAAGGCCTGGTACCAGGATCCTTTACATCTTTTTCCTGATAAAAGTATAGTAACCGTATTATATTATCTGTTGTGGTTAAAGATCAGTAAATACCTCATACTTCTGTCCATGATGTGAATTGGATGTGACTTAGTGCCAAAAGTCCTAACTTTCCACGCCTTGCCTGCAGCAAATGTTATTATTATTAAAATATAAAGAAAAAGATCAGCACACCTTTATCTTATGTTTTTTAGAGCACGACCATTAAATCTTTCGGAGAAGGAAAGAGGAGACAAGAATATCATCAAGCTACCTGAAAATTCTAATGGAGCCGTGTGGGTCAGTAACATGCCTTTGTTTTTGCTGAGATGCCTATTAGGATATTGCTATATTTGATTATTAGGTTATAAGTACTTGCTTAAATGACATTCTGTTGGCTTCAAACTCAAGAAAGTTAGTTTCACCCCCTAATATCCAGTCACTGAGAAGTGGGGTAAAAAGAGGGACTGGATGGCCAAGTTTTTAAATTCTGCTTTGAGGTTGCCTGAGACCATATGTCCTCTCACTATAATCTGTACATTTCTCTTGAGGGAAGAGGGCATAATACACATATAAAGCTTAAATTTGACTTTTTTTTCTGTTTGGCTCTCAAAAACAATACCCATAAATAAGCTCTGTTCTCATTGGCTGAAGATAGGTTTGATGTTCTCTTTATGAGATTTAGATTCTTGCAATGGTATTTTTTCTTTTTTCATTCTTGTGACCGATAATAATATTATTGAAATGATGCTCTTGATAATGCCCCACAGAAAATATGTGCTAGTTTTTCAAAGAGACATCTGAATATAGCTGTTGTTTTGATTTTCCTGAGTACAAAATTATTATTAGCTGGTAGCGGACTTTTTTGTACCTAATGGGAATTCGATTTCATTTGTTTTTATTAATTTGAAGGGAAGGGTGGCTGGCTGCTCATGGAAAAAAGTTATCAGTCCTTTTGTCTCTGCCTGATCACAGTTTAACCTTGAGGTGTCTATGGACGTCACAAGAAACATGAAACAGTCTATCAAAGACACTGTTTGATGTAGTTTGTCCAAAGATCTGCAATATTTGAAAATTGACTAGAATAATGAATTGGGCTAAATTACATTTAGGGAAAGGTACATTAAATCAAGTCACAGCAGGGCAGAAGAATAACCAATAGGAGAGGTCCAGGAAAATTACCATGTGCTTTTGCTTTTAACTGATCATTGCTTCTTTCCTTCCTCTGTTTTTCCCCTCCCATCCTGGACAGGATGCTAGTCCATCACAGGGTTACCCCCCAGCAGCATTTCACTGGTACCCATTGATACACCTGGGTGAATAGAGACAAAATGGAGTAAAGTTCCTTGTCTAAGGAAACAATACAAAGGGGGAGGCTTGAACCCTGGATGTCCAGATCTGGAGTTCGAGGTGTTAACCACTCGGCCACACATGCCTCCACCATGAATCAATAAAACTTTGTTAATATTCACATCAGTTTTCACATTTCATATTAGTGATTTTTTGTTATTTGACTTGAAACAGGAGGTTTTTTTTCTTCACCTGTTTTTGCAGATTGATAACAGTTTTGGCCAGATCAAGCCTTTCACCTTTAATGCTGCATTTGGTGAGGAAACTACTCAGAAGGAGATGTTCAATGAATGTGGCATCAAACATTTGGTGGAGATGGCTGTTGAAGGGTTTGTTAATAATGATCAGGCCATTTCAAGTTTAAAAACAGGGCTTCAAAACAACTTTAAAAAAATTTTTAAAAAAGTAATCTAGTTGTTCCAGACTAATGGAAGGGGCTTTATTCAAGCCCTGAAAAAATGAGCCATTTTGCTGTCTAGTATTTTAAATGCTCCTGTGCTAAATTGGCCCACCAGAAGTTTCATAATACACTCAGTACTTTTTGCTTGTGTGTGAGTGTGTGTGTGTTTCATTTTTACTATATTTAGATATTCATGTACAGCTTTTGCTTATGGCCAGACTGGATCAGGAAAGACCCACACTATCACTGGCCCACTGGTAACTAAGACATTTGGTTCTTAAAATTTGCGGGAATGTTAAGTTTTGCTGTTTTGCCATCACTGTCATTTCATCTATACTGCAATATTTTCACACCTTTTCTTGTAAATTCCCTCGCTCTCAAAGAGAAATGAAATGCTCAGATAATGCTTAGATAATCTGAAAAGAGTTGCAGTTGCATGCAAATAACCTGGGGCAGGTTGTGGAGGGGGTGGGGGTACTCTAAGGGATTCTTGTTAGGGGTGTGCCAAACAAAACCCACTGAATTGTACTTTGCAAAAATCCCCACCGTTTTACTTGCACCTTTAGACTGAAAGGTACCCCTTTTGGGCAGAGCATCCCCATGTGGTCTATTACAAGAAATACCATAAGTCTCTAAGGAATCACCCCAGGGATTGTTTTTTTTGAACAGGCCTATCCAGCACGGTTGGAGTGCAAGTCTCCAGACAGTACAGCTTTGGTAGTTAATGAAGTCACACAAATTTAATCTCTCTTTCTTGAAAAAAGAAAAGCTTAAGGGAGGGAACTCTTTTGCAGGTATTGAATGGAATGTCCTAATTTATTGTAGGAAAATTCTGCTGACAAGGAGAGGTTTATTCCTGATCCAGACATGCAGGGGCTGATTGAGAGGTTTGTATTTGTGAGGAGTGATTGAGCCAGTGTATTATTATAATTACATTTCTATAATCATTATTGTTATTATGAGGTATTAAGTTTCTGCAACAGTGATTGACAATATACAAGGTCAGATATTACACAGGAGGTAAGTGCTTGCCGGAAATCAAGATGTCCATGCTCTGCGAAAAGACTTTGGAAGGTTCTGACACTATGACACTACATACAGGTCTCAAGATGTGCTGTTTTCAAGTTGACTAATTTTATTTGTTCAATGTGTTTTCAGATCCTTCCATTATATGTTTGAATTAATGGAGAGTCATGCTGATGTGGAGTATACTATTAGAGCATCGTATTTAGAAGTGTATAATGAAAAGGTGTGCGTTCTTTCTCACATAAAATCCACATAGTTTGAAGTGGACAAGTTTGGTAGGCAGAATTTAAAAATCATGATTAGAAATAACCTTGTGTCGACAGCCATATTAAATCCTCTTAAATTTTTAACAATGCATGCTTTTTACTTCATTGCATTTGGAAATCTTGGGACAATCTATGTCTAAAAGAATGACTAATCTTAAAACTACACTTGCTAGTTTCCTGGTCTCTCGTATCAAAATGGTGCATTGGATAAACTCAACAATTTAACCTTATTTTTTTCCTCAGATTCAAGATTTGCTGAATCCCTCTAGGGCAAGGGACTCATTACCTGTACGCTGGGCAAGGGACAGAGGCTTCTATGTAGAAAACCTATTTTTTGTTGAGTGTGACACTGTGGATGACTTGATTGCAGTATTAGAGGAAGGTAACTGATTAATTTGTAAAGTCTGCAAAAAAATCGGAAGGAAGGTTACTTTCCTGGTCCCTTACATTACAGTGAGCTGGGTGCAGTAGAGTTAGGTTGATTAGTTCCATAGCTGGGATAGGTGGGCACTCTAGTAGGACTGAACTCGTAAAATGGAAAGAGCTGACTGAATTTTTATGGGTATCTCTTGCCTTGCTTTAAAACTATAGACACTTTCTTCTTGCTGTTAACTGTATGGTAAATTGCAAAGTTGTGGTTGGAGGTATTCACAGTTTGGATTATCAAAGATTGAGCCTGTAAAAAAAGCGGTCTCTCCTCACTCTTCGCCACGAAGGACCTTTTGCAAAACGTCTCTTGTGGCGAGGAACGAGGACAGACGGCTGTTTTCGCAGGCTATCAAAGATTAAAGGAGCTAATTGTCACGACATTTAGCTAAATTTATTTTCCAGGCCGTGGCCTTCAAATCAAGAGAAACATAAAGATAACCGATGAATACATGAATGTTGACAAAAGGTTTAAATAACACAGAAAATACAAAACTGAAGGCACGGATGGCAAAAATTGTAAAAGATCAGAATGAAAAGTTTTTCAGTGTTTGTCCCTGTTGTTTTTACCGCAAGTTTAAATTCAGTGCTCGGGATACAAAGTTGTGACTTTGTCATTTGCAAGTACCTTTTTCGTTTAATTTCAGTTTCTTAGTGAGTAAGGTCACGTAGTTAAAAAAAAACTAAACAAAATCTGGAGTGAACTTCCATGACACAACCCCTGAGAAACAAAGAAGTGGGCGGGTGACGGTTACCGAAGATGCTACATACCTGTATTAATTTATAACAAGCTTTTTTGACGGGAGTTCGAGTTATCAAGATTTCAAAAGGACTACTATACCCTAGTACGATTTCTCCTTTATTGACTGCCAGAGATCTGCAGAAGTAAAAGAGTGTAACAAAATGTACTTCTGTTTATTTTGTGCAGGTCTGCATAACCGTCAAGTTGGGTCTCATATGATGAATGATCACTCTAGCAGGAGCCACAGTATGCTTACAGTATACATAGATATTGAGTCGGTGAGACTTACGTTCATCTTTGATACTCTCTTCTCCGCAGAGACCTCTTTGTGTCGTTGGGAGGCTGGGGAGAGAGAAAACAGAATGGAATACTCAGTGAGAGCTCCTGGGGAGGAGAGAGTCTTCAATAAACAAACCTTTTAAGTCTAGAAAAATATTGATGAACTTGTAACCAATTTGTCGCCCCTAGACAAAGTAGTCCAAGTAAGGAACAATTATATGAAAGCCGCGTTGCGGTGAATCGTGTCTCTGAGGATTTCTATGGTCATACAGACGTGCTAGAGATGGGGACAGTCAAGTGATCCATTTGTGTTTCAGGGAAGGTCATGTTTCCAAGACTGGCTTTTTTTTCTGGAAAGAGAAAAATTGAACGGTCCAGTTATTTATAGATTGCATCAGAATTTAAGCCCGTTCTTTTTGTCAGCTTTGAACGTCTACGTTCGGCAACGTGTTGAAGAGAGCGTGTATGGCAGTAGGAAACTGAGTTTCATTTCATAACATCAAACTTGAGTAAATAAGAACTGTCACAAATGCAGCTTTAGGGAAATACTTTTGACAGTTCTCACTAAAATGCCTAACAACCGATAATTAAATTCTTACCTAAGCAAATAAGATGCAGTTAGTTAACATTTTATTCTTGGAAGTTGATTACCGACTTTAGCTGTGCGCGTGGTGTATATTCCTTGAATGTCGATTCGTTTTTTTCTGTGTATGCGGTCGGTTTACCTTAAAGCATGAAACAGGGTACAGATATGGACTGAAATGGGATCGTTGCTTTCTAAAAGGAGACCAGTGAAATCAGCTTTATTAGTAGCCAAATTGTTAGTAGATGAGAGATGAGTAAATTATAACTTTCTTTTCAACTGGTTCGGGCCTTTTAAACGCTCGTTAAATTGTCTGGCGGCACAGACTTGTCCAGGGAAGGACTTTCTGTGATACTGTTTTTATTGCAAACTTTTATTTTATTTACAAACGGTTCGTATTTTAAAAATAACTTTCAATTTCTACAATTGTAACGAACGTTTCACTTTCTTTGTAGAATGATTCCGGTGAGGCGTCTGGCTATCCAGTGGTAAAGCACGGAAAACTGAGTCTTGTAGATTTGGCTGGTAAGATTAAAAGGTTCAAAACATACACCCTAAAGGTTCCTTAATAGAACTGGAGGTTTGCGGCCACCTCTACAAGACGGCCAAATTGTTTTCATTGCAGCGAATGCATTGGAGATCTGAAGATACCACAACGGCGACTTCAGTGAAAACCGTGACGTCACCGAAAAACTGGCTTCGTGTCCTTCCAAACGCTTTCGCGATTATTACCACTCGTTTAGTTATTTTTAGTTAGAAAAAATTTAAGTTGGAACTGAAGCGAAGGGACCACGTCCGAATTCAGATAGATACGGTAGAATTTATCGTATTTCCGTTCACTTTCTTTAGGACTTACAGTTTGATCAGTTTACGTCGTAGTTCTGTAGGTACGGCCGTGTAGAAATTTACAGGAGAGCGTACTGCAGGTGCACGGCGTTTAGATTTGTGGTCTCACTATTCTTCATTGACGGTTTCTTTTGCCGTTGCTTTTGCGGTCGCCGTCGTAGCCTCGTAAAGTCCCCATTCGCTTTGTTTTAACCCCTCAACAACGACGACCTTGCTACAATGCTTATGGTCAATCTCACTCCTTTGACCCCAAATTGGTGGGGTGGGGGGGGGGGATGTGCATGGGTGGGTTCGATCGTACTTTGAAAACAAATTGCAAAAGATCTACGCGTAGAATTCTTTGAAATATCGTGTCATGAAAGTGGCTAGTACTTACTTGAGCCATAGTTAATTGAGTGGAATGGTTATGAAACCCGACAGACTCCTTTGTTATATGTTTTTGTGGACCTGAAAGTGTACAACGTTCAAAAGAATTCCTATCCTTTTGATTGTATTGACCAATAAAAACGTTGCATTAATTTATAGGCATTGTTAAACGGTTGTCTTTTGTTTCCTAACACGTGAAAGTCCCACGAAGGTTGTATTTGACGTCGTGACAACAAAAATAGTAACATGTTTGCCGCTTTTCATAACCAGTCTCCTCCAATAACTATGCTTGAGCCCTGCAGTAAGCATGTTTCTAATCGGTTCCTTATCGTCAGTTAATTTTGTTTGACTGTTTGTTCAAAAATCTTCCTTTGGCAAATGCGCTAATGTTTCAAAATATTTGTTTTTGCCCCGTGGTAAAGGCGTTTGGTATGTCTTAAGGCGATCGTACTAAGGCCAAACTTCTCCAAGCGGACACGAATTTTTTATCTTTGACTTTTCTAGCAACGGTTTTTGCGAAATATTGCCGGCATTTTCGAGGAGATGCGATCACTTTTATGCGTGGTTCAAGGAACAACCTCTGAATTCCACACACACACATAAAATATGTACACTCAGGAACATTTTTTCTTTGCGGTTAAATTCTTTGTTTTTAACTGCATGAGGGTATAAACAATGACACTGCGTACCTTACTGTCTATAAATAACCGTGATAATTATTTGAAATACTGTTGTCCTTTATACCCAGGTGTCTCTATGATTCTGTCAGTTACACCACAAACACGGGGCGCTGCATATAATTGTGTTTTGAGCTCCTTAATAAAGGATAATGATGTCAATTTCCACGGCTCAGTAGCCAGCCGTTCGTTTATTATGTAAAATTGGTTATGCATGTCGAAGAACGGAAGACAATGAACTAAACCAATGAAGGTTCACGACATTTAGCGACATTTAGTACATTTGAAGGGCAAGAGTTATTGAGCGAAGAATTTGTCTTGTAAGTACGTAATCGATCAAAGTTTCTTTGATTGGGATTGGTTTATACCTGACGCGCGAGTTAGCTTGTCCGTAGTTAGTTTTCCCATTGTTTTCAAAGTTATTGTACTTCTCGAACGTACAATCTAACACAACCAACAACTTCAAGGGTTTGTTTCTTGTAAAATACATGTGTACTGTTTGTCACGATAATCAGCTACGATTACACCAAATTTAAAGTTAACATAATTTAAACCTGAATCTTTGGCACTCAGTATCAGACACTTAGTCAAGTCTGAAAGTTACAAAACAAGATAGCTTTAATGTTCATTGTTGCTTAACAACGACAAACGCCGTTGAAACCTAGTTTTAATGAAAAGTCATATTCATCGACTTTACTACCTATAGATTTCGTTCGTTAATCACTTTAGATTACAGAATAGTGTGTTTATCTTTGTGGCGTTAAGGGTTTTCAGTTTTTACACGTGTCAACTGATTTGCGTTTCTTCTTCTTTCCTAACAGGAAGCGAGCGTGTAAAAGAAACAAAGTCAGTCGGAGGAACGTTAACGGAATCACAGAACATTAATAAGAGTTTGTTGACGTTAGGTGAGTTTGTCATGACTTGATTCCATATTTTACCGGCCGACGGATTTAATGCTAAATCAGACGGAAAAAAACGAGTTGTTTTATTGTGGATTTAAGATCAGTACTATTAGATCGACACTTGTAAACATGGATTTGTGTTTGGCATGAATCGATTTTTTGGTTGATCCATCTTCGATCCTTGTTTCTACACTACATTAAATTAAATGTCGTTCAGCAGGAAACTCGCTGTTTGCGAAGTTTAACTTTATTCCTTAATTTAATACGTTACCTTATCAACAAGCATTTGGTGGATTAATTGTGGAAGAATCAAGTCCTAAATCACACTTTTTGTTTTAATTAAATTGCCGAAATGTGTCGCAAACTGAAATTTTGATTAAATACAAATATACCCTCAGGCTGTTTTGGTACGGCTATGTCATGACTAAATAGCAATTACATAATAAAAGGCTTAAATGTTTTATCAGTGTCATAGCCTCATCGCATAAACGCATGTGTTTGTTTAATATGGGTTTTTTCAGCGGAGTTTCCTTGTATATGTTGTTATACCGCATCTATGGATTTGTATATCAACATCTCTCATTAAATCTCATAAAGTTCTCCAAAGTTATTTCACTACATGCTTAATATTGATTCCATAGTCTAATTAACATGTTAAATGTTACAAGATTGTTATCTACTGATCTTTCCTGACCCATTATTACGTACAAATTGTTGGCATTGTTTGCATGTCTTCCTTGCCGGATTTGATGAAGCAAAACCCCGCGCGCGCGCGCGTTCATTGAGCTGCGCTGTGTATCTCTGCAAGTCGTTATCAGTTGTAGTTTGGCTAAAATATTTACGGTCAACTCTCCCCGCAGACGGACACTGTTGGGAAGTGTCTGCCTCACAGAGATTCACAGCGAGAGTCTGTGATTCTTACGGTTACTATTCTGAACTACCTTCCATCTCCAATTCACACACCCATGAAGTATCGTGCCAGCGATTAGGACTGAGAGCTCATTTGCAAGCGAGACTTTCTGTTGTTCAGTTTCAAAAAGAGAAGTTCGACCTTTAACAGATAATCGTCTTGATCAGTTTATGCGGTGTTACATTTTGAGTTTTGTAGATGAGATCTTCGGTTGATACTAGTTTGCTCTATGAAAACTCTGTTGATCAGTACTTGTTTGCAGCGGTTACTGATCTTCAGCAATTTACTTTTTCCATAACTTTAACTTTGTTCTGTACCTGCTTCGCCTCCTGAATGAAAAACTGAAAAGTCCTTATTTGGAACGAAACTTGCGAGAGTATACTCGTTTGTCTTTCAATACTTATTTCTTTGATGCTTGTTCTTTAATAAGGCCTACTCTGGGACCTAAAGTCGCCGTAACTTTACGCGACTTAAGGCGACTTTAGGAAAATTTGCTCAAAATGTTATTCGATTTAAGGCAGTTTTAGGCGACTTTAGGCCATATAAGATGACCAATGAGGTGAATTTAAAAATGTAAGTGTATACAAAATTGACATCCACTGATAACACCACCTGTCTACGGAGACAGTCGCACACTTATAAAACTACCAAATTTCCAACAATCTCAACACATTTAATACTAAAATAGTGATTCTAACTTATATGTTGAACGCTAAATATCAAGGTAGCCTGCGTCGCAGATGTAATCTAACCCTGATTATTCATGTCTGCTAACGGACGGACCATGAAATATTAGACAAACCTCCCTGACAAAATTAGTATATAATTTGCCGACTGGAACAGACAGATCTTGTGAATTCGTACTTTTTGTCGATAAGTTCTTGAGTGTTGACCAGAATTTTTGTGGGTTAGATGAATTAACAAGTTCTTCCATTTTGTAGTTCTGATGTTTTCGCTTTTTCTCTTTTAACAAGCGTTTGTATTCCTTATTCAGATGATGATAATTATTGAACACGGGTTATTACACACTTTATGAGAAATGCATTCTGGAAATTCAAATAGAAAACTAAAAAAGTAATTGCTATGAGACAATTTCAACCTCTAGAGATTATAATGATTTAAAGCGACTTAAGACGATTTGAGGCGACTTAAGGCGACTTAAGGTCCCAGAGTAGGCCTTTAACCCCTTAAGTCCCATTAGTGACCAACATCAATTTTCTCCTAATGATATCCATAGATTGTCAAGAGCAAAGTCTATGAGAATTAATAAAATGATCACAAAGAGAAAAATCTTTGATCTTTTATCAAATTCTCTCAACTAATTCTCTAAGGAAATGTATAGAGATAAATCTGGAGAATTTGTATGTGGATATTGGAGCTGAAAGGGTTAATAACTCTTCTCTGAGCATTCAATCGAACAATGCCAGTGTCTGTGGCTACCTTGTTTTCACAGGAAACTGCATCTCTGCACTGAGCGACCCAAGAAAGAAAGGAGGGCACATTCCATACCGCGACAGTAAACTCACTAAACTTCTAGCTGACAGCTTGGGTGGGGATGGTATCACCCTTATGGTAAGTGCTTCACACTCTTTCTCATTACCCTGAGATTAGGTCAAAAGAGAGCAGAAGCCGGCGGAAGTTGCCGAAATTTATACATTCCTTCCCGTTTGGTCTCAACTATCGCGCACGCGTGGGGAATTTTAGTATAACCTTGGTTAGCGTAGTTGAAGTACAAGTAAATGCAAACAGGAAAGACTGTAAAAGAAAGAATGATCGCCGAAAAGAATGGGAATAGTCCTTCCCACTAGACATTACTCCTCATTACGCTGAAGTCTGCCTAAAAACGAGATTTAAAATAAAGTTATAATAAAAGTAGGTTGAGTCGATCGTCCGGGTGAACGTAGTCCTGAATAGGACTGTTGTTGTTGACAGTAACTGACGTTTTGACAACCTGTGCGGTAGTCATCTTCAGAGTCAAAGTGAGTTGGTAAACTCAGTAGGTTTGGAACTAGCTAAATGAAGTTTTTTGAAAGAACCATGTATGTGATGGGTTTGAAGTTCTTGACCTTGTAAGATGAGTTGGGGAAGGGGAGTGGGTATTGAACCGGCGAAATCTGACTTAAACGCGGGGCAAGCCTTGCCACAGGGGTAATATTTTAACGTGGAATTTTATAAAGATGCGATAAATTAAAAATGCCCCCCTAAGGACAGTACATAGCTCTGACCGCTCGCAAGTCACAACGCAAGTCTTGGCGCCAGAGCTGTAGACTGCTCTGATGAAGTTTGTTTACAACTCTAACATTTCCAGATCGCATGTATTTCGCCTTCTTCGTACGTGGTGCAGGACACCTTGAACACCCTGAGGTACGCTCACCGCGCAAAGAGGATCAAGAATAAGCCTGTGGTGCATATGGTATGTCTGTGGCCGAGTGTGTCAGTAACCAATTACTGCCAGAAAGTTAATGAGATCGTATACAGCTATTTAATTAACGTTGTCGGATTTTAAGGCCTCAAGCCTACGCACGACAAGACCGCAAGGTCATGTGGGTAGCTGTAGATCCCTTAAAATTTGGTTATAGCTTCACGGTTCTCAGTGCTATAGAACGGTATTCAGTCTCAGAAACGTTTACCTTTGTCGTCCTTTTATGACAGAAGAATTGTGCTTTATGGCTGAGTATGGGAATTTTTTAAAGGAAATTGCTACATTGTAGTAGCTGTATGAATAGGATTTAATCCATTGACGGATGATTTGAAACCAGATTACGTGACTTGAACAGCTTTTTCATCTGAGTACACTGAACCGGAACCAAAGTAATAATTACTCTGGTCTGTTAATTCAGTAAGACGATATCGGCAGTAAGTGTTTTGTGGCAGTTCTCAGTATGCTTGACCTTACGTGAAGGAAAACGTGAGCAAGCAGATCAAAATCTGGGTTTTCTTCTGAAAGCAACTGTTAAAAGCGGCCTGCACTAAGACTAGTGAAGCTTGAAGCGCGCCGTGTACTCTTTACCCTGGGTACGAGAGTTTTTTTTCTCGCGTGCGACGAGGAGCTTCGTCGGTCGAAGACACGAGCGGCGGGTCTCTTTAAATACTTGAACAAAACCGGAAACCGCACATGAAAAGCCTCTGGCACCTAGGGTATCTGCTCTTAAGCACCGACACTAAAAAATTAGGAAAGGGCTCGCCCGCGATCATAAGTACGCTTTTAAATGAGAACTGATTCAAGCGCGTTTTAAGGAAAGGTTATAGTTTGAGGATGTTTGACGAGACTTGTCTTTTTCAATGTGTACCTGTGTTCGGAGGACGTCAATCATGAGCTCAGTTTACTTAACCTTTCTTTGCAGGACCCAAAGGAAAAGCTGATTTTGAACCTAAAGCGAGAAATAAAGTTACTTCGTACCGAAAACGCCTATTTTCGTCAGCAGGTATTTAGTGTTCGAAAATGTGCTCACACATTTAGAATTTGAATTATTCATTCTCGTTTTATTAATATGATTGCCACATGCACTGCGATTCGTTCGTTACTTCTTGTCTCAGAGTTGTTCGATTAGCAGGTTAGTACTTTTTTGGGAGGGGAGTGGGGTGGGGGTTGTAAGCCAACAGTCCACAAGAAGCAAGAACAAAAACTATCACTGAACCCTTGATATTTTGTCAGACATGTCATATCAGCGAAATGAACTGATTTATCATTTTGGTATTTCTGTTTCCTTAGCTGGGACTACCAAGCAGCGAGTCTCAAACATCCGTGTCAAGTAACGACAGTAAAACAACAACCGAAGTGGAGGATGAGAGTACACCAAAACTTGACGTTCCCAGTTCACCACCGCCAGGTGTGTGCCTCTTAGTTATGTCTTGAGTGATGGTGGAGTAAAGGTATGAAAACCTCCCCTTGTTGCTGAAATCCTTGAATCAAAATGCACCAGTGAGACTGTAGCCTTTGAATCGTAGTTGACCAATGAAACGGCAGACTTTCCGCCGGAATACATTAATCAGTGTTCAAAACAAAACCTTACTGAGAGAGATGTTTTTTCAGTCAGTGACACAGGCGGCTTGGAAGAAAAAATCCGAGTACTCCCAATAGGAGTCGAACCTCTGATTACTTGTCCAGATCCCCTACCACTAAGCTACAAGAGACTCGGGGACTCTAAACCTTACTGTTACCGAAATCTGTTTCGATCTCCAGCAGTAATGCTCTTCCAGTTAGTGTCTCTTATCTGTCTAACACTCTAAAAATTGTTCCACCACCAGCGCTGTATCTGTACATATAGGTCTTAGGCACTCGATCGTCACTGTTGGTTGGCGCTCATGATGAGGGGCGAAGCAAAAGCTTCTAAGAGGGCCAAGCCAGACTTGCAGACAACTTGCTTTGTAGGTTTTTATCTTTAATAGGTTCTCTTTTTTATGCCCTGCAGCGAAACACTTACAAGCCCCTGAAGATTCACAAAGACTGACAACCGCTATGTAAGACATCTGCTCCTTTGTATTAGCTGTCAATAGTAGACGATACTATAAGTCGTCATTAGTACTACTTTTGAAAAGTCTCTTTCTTTGTTGCTTCAAGTTTTGTCTCTTCTCTAGCTTCACTATCATAAACTGATCCTGACTTTTAATCTTAATTTGTAGCATGGCTGCTGGGGCAAACTCCGGTCTTTATGACATGTTACAAGAGTATATGGTCGAAAACGAACATCTCAGGTAAAACATGCGTGTTCTTATTCCTTTCAAAGATTCGTTTTTCCTGCAGTTGAATTAAGATTTTATTATTTTCATTTTTTCACAGAACAACCAACGTCGAACTTGTGCAAAGTCGCGAAGAAGTCACCAGACAACAGATGGTAAGTGTAGGACTTGGACTCACGAGTTGCTTGGCGGTCGTTGTTATTGCTTTCTGGTTCAAATCAAGCGTAATAGTCGTGGTGTCTATTTCTCTTTGTATTCTTAGGTGCTGTCAAGAGAAAATGACCGACTGTCAAAGAAACTAGAAGAGTTAGAACGGTTAGTGAGCTCTTTGACTCACCTTTTTCTCGAGAACGAGTGATAGGCATCACAATGATGCGTGAGCTTTGTTAGTTTGTCGTAGCGGTATGAATTCTTGAACCGGTATCAGGGCCATGATCACAGAACTAATGCGAAAACCAAAGAAATCGGTCTGACCAATCACAGGAGATACAAACAATCCGATGAACCAATCAGAAATAGAAAAAAACACATGTAACCGGCGCCAAGCGCGGGAACATTCGGGCGAACAAGTTACAACCCCTTCTCGTTTTGCTTCTGATTGGTTGATAAAAGTAGCACAAGACAATTTTTACTTAGAAGGAGGAACGAAGATGAACTAGTGGCACAGGAATCGTGTAAATCCTCCTAACCTCTAAATCTTTAATTATTACAGGGTAATCGTTAATTCGCCGATGCCTCGAAGGACGTTATCTGGTGTTGAACGCACTGGGTCTCTCCCTGAGGAGCACTTTATGACCAGCGTAGCGGGCCACTCAGCTGAAACACGCCCGTCGCCGTTTGTGGAGGAGCATAACCATTTACAGAGGAGAAATTCGCTTCCTAGTAAGAGAAACTTTTGTTGTATACTTACTTCACTCGAATTTATCCATGCCTTTGTGCCGTTGGGGATATTTTTGATTCGTGTTTCCTTTTGTTTCAGCGCAATCCAGAGAACGCCGTCGATCGACCTCAGATCCCGCCCCTCAACCGTTGGTCACAAAATTCCCGCCACTTCACAACGGGCCTTATCCCAACTATGTTGGACAGGTCGGCTGGCATCCAAAATCGGAGGCTCAATCTGCGTCTCAGGAACCAACCCGAGGTAAGGTTTATATACACCGTAATGTTGCATTAAGTGTAAAGGAGTAACTTCGGGTGCTCGTGGTTTTGAAGATTTAAATTTTCCAAGCTGCTTACTCATTAACTCTCATTAAAAAGCTGCTAATCGTTTGGATTTTCCGATTTCCGACAGGAAAACCCCACAAACACACGCAAAACTGCGACTTTTACTTTTCGTTATGAACACTGATTTACATTCAAATACTAGTATCTGAAATAGTGGACTCCTTAAAAATTCCTGAACTTAATGAGAACTTTTCGTAATGAAAGTCATAAGGTAATTGTAGTTGCGCTGTCATTAGACTGGAGTTGTTTGCACTCAGTACCGTTTTTATGTGAAGCTGTGCGTTCTAAGCGTAGGATATTTTTAGGATTTTCAGTCGACATAAACACTAAATTCCAGGTTAGTTACTTTCAGTTACTTTATTTTGTTTGTTTATGACTTCAGAGACAAACAACAACATGCCTCCGAGGGTACCGCATGGTCACTCCGTCCCAGACTATACGCACAAGCCAAAACCTACAATCAGCACGTAAGTTATGTGCACAATAAGATAACCCTATCAACATAGACAAAGGAAGAAGAATACGGTTGATACCATATCCTTTTCAGATTTATTCTACTTTTTTTTCGCCTTGTATAAATTGACCTGAGATGTAGCGTCCTCCTTCCCTTTTTCTTTAGAAGGCGCGAGAAAAAGGTTCCTTTTTTTACAATCAGTCCTTTTTTGTAATCAGTCCCATAAAATCCATTCCATTCCTCAAGTTTTCACGGGATCATTTGCGGTCAACTTTGGGGATCACTTGCGGTCGAGGATCATTTGCGGCCCATTTTGGGGATCATTTGCGGTCTCGGGATCATTTGCGGTACTGTACAGCACTCCCGAGGTCAAGTTCCACAGTAAAAAAGTTCAGTGCAGAGTTCAGTGCCATGTCATGTTGCTTGTACAAAGCCAGCCTGGCCTCCTCCTGTCAGCTTAATTTTAAGCTTTTAGCCTTCGTATTTTCTTTTCGCACCATTCTCCATACGAAACTGAGAAGGAACTAATAAAGGTACTGGACAAGGACAATTAAAATGGAGCCGAAACCAATTTTGGAATTGCACCCATTTTAGGCATTCTTAGGCTCATAATGAAAATTTACCTCTTTTAGATATTTGCGGCAGCAACATTTTTTTCTAGACTGCTGCCTTAAAATCTCTCATTTCCAGTACGTGACTATACGTAGGCACGGAAAGGTTAACGTGTTGACCATGTTATGTTTAATTTGACAAAGTTATTTTATTTATTTTGCGCTTCCATTGCTTTTTTCCCCTAACTTGCGTGCTATGATCGCTCAGCGAACCCAGGGTACATAGCTTTGATATTGAATTTGTAAGATTTATTCCTATGACATGGGTAAGGTCAAAACTAGTCTAAGTAACATTGGCAAATCAAGACAGTCATTAAATTTTGCTTTTACAAAACTGTACTTTTTTTTCTTTACGCAGAAAGAAGAGGTCCGTTCCTGTTACTTTAAAAGATCGTCAAAAAGGCGCTAACAGCTATGCGCGAATGTTTGCTGCACTCAAAGAGAAGAAAGCAAAGGGGGCGAAAGAAAATGAAGCGAAAAAGGTCGTACAAAATGGTGATGTACATCATGGCAATGGCGCCAAAGAACAGTTCAATTCCCAAGTGCATATAGATGCAACAAGTTTTGGTGGTCATCAAAGTGTTGGGTGGCCTGTGGAACAAGATGTGCACTTCAACGATAACTTTGTACCCGGTATGTCCACTGACATGAATTTTCTTTTGTATTGGTGTTATTTATTATTCTGTTACTTTGCTTAATACTCAACAAAGAAATTACCTACTACATAATCAGACCAATAAAATTTATGATATCGAAAGAGGTTTTTGTCCAAAAGGTTTTTCGAGGTTCAACCTGAGGATAATTTCTTGAATTATCGACATGAAACGTGGTGATTAAGCATCACTTTTCTTTAACCGGCACCGGACTAGTCTTCGACAGTTGTGCGCGCTAATTTTGTTTCGTTGCTTTTAAATTTGTTGTCATCTTTATTAACCGCAAACACGAGACATTATGGATTTATAGTCATACTTGATAAATTTTTCTTGTCGCTCGGTACAGTCGGTACAAATAACTCACTGATAAACGAGAATTCAAGCGCGTAAAGACAAGTTTGAGTGTCCGTGCACGAAGTTCAAGCGACCTGCACATTAAAAAAGGAGCACAACTCATCTTAAATGCTTCAATGTTTTCAATTTTGCTCATGTTTTCCTGACACGTGTGCAAGTTCTATCTGTTCCCGAAAGCTCGGCGTTTACTTAAAACATTAAAATAATTTAAAAACCATTATTATGTACTCAACTTCTAAAAAATTGCTTACCTTTTTAAACATTGTCAAGTTCTTGTTTTCGGAGACTTGTGAGCAACTGAAGAGGTAAAGAACCAACTGCATGTTTATAAATGTGGGTAATCCCCGGTGTAATATAATTTATTCGTTTTCGTTGTTTTATGGACCATTGTCAGGGTTAGGTTCATTGTTTAGGATGTTTTGTTGTCTTTGTTTTACGTCAGCTGTGAGTAATAAATTATATTACACCGGAGATGAGCCATAGATGTGAAGAACGTGAATCATTTTTCTGCCGCAGTGGCTAGCGGTGAGCCCTTACCGATACGAAATACTCGATATCGATACGTCATCCGCCGTTAGCAACATAGGAATCATCTTGATGTCTTCAAGCATTGCAATACACCGTATTCACAAATGGCGGACACGCGGGAAAAAAACTGGTGCCTAGTCATGAAAGTGAGGCGTTGGAGGATAATTAAGAATTTGTTCAAGCTTAGCGTGCGTATATCGAGTTATGGATGCACTTGGGAAGTTTGGAGAGCACGAAAGATGCGTAAGAGTTGCACGAGGCGATAGCTGAGTGCAACTCTAGCTTCTTGAGTGCTCTCCAAACTTCCCAAGTGCATCCATAACTCGATATACGCACAGCTAAAAGCATGAGCAAATTCTTTTATAACATAGCTGACAAAAATGCTTGCTTTTTGATTAACTACAAAATTCTCGTAACGCGCTACACAATAACAAACGCTTCTATTGGCTGATTACGAACACTCCACAATCATCTAGTTTAAATGAAAATATTCTTTCTGTAGCTTTTCTGTAAAACTGAGAAAGAAAATTTGCTTCTTTATTCGTTAACGATCAATGGAAACTAAGCAGAAACAAGGGTAAAAGAGTCTTAAAGTTCACCTAAAGTTAAAATACTAACATGTTCGTAAGAAGTCGTGGACTATGGTTTGGATTTGCTGAAAAGATGTTTACGTTTTGCTCGGCGAAATCCAGAAAACATGTTTTTAGCGAAGACGACTGTCATCCTTCTTTAAACTCATATTCATTTACAAACATTGGCTGGTCATTACGGCTTCTTGAGAAGACCTGGCAGCAGTTGTTTTTGTGAGTAATAAATTTATGTCTTCTTGTGTAATTTGTGTTGTTATTGCCAGAGAAATCTTCCTGCTTCAGTCGGATTGTCCGCAGATAACAAAAGTGTATAACAAATTTAAAAACAACAATAAAAACGGAAATTTAACCTCTTAATGTTGTTGATGACCAGTTGGTGTCTGTTCTGTTCCCAGTGAATGTCTTTCGGCCAAAATTTGCTGCAGCTGGTCTTCCAACAAATTTGCGAAACGCGCAACATGCGAGTTTTTTTAATTCGGCTCAATTTTTGCTGCTTGTTGGATCAGGACCTAAAAGGTCAATGCCGATAGAAAAATCGGGCAGTTCTTCGCTGGTTTCTTCCATATTTTAAAGAGAAGGAAAACTGCACTGCAGCTTAACAGACGACAACTCTGCAGCCAGGTAAAACAAAATGCTTACGTCATCTTATTTACGCACGGGCGTGCGTAAATAAAGATTTTGTTCATAGTGGCTCAATAGGACTTATATAGGGCAAGCACGCGCGCTATGTTATAAACAAAAATTGCAAATGAAGACTTTCAGTGAACTTGCAGAGTGTTTAGCACGGATTTCACGTAAAATAACTTTGTACGGACTTCTTTTTAAATACAATTACTTGGGATGTCTTCTGCTTTTAATGTTTAGTAGCGATTTGCTGTTTGCAATCAAAAGGGACGCGTATATCTCCAAGGAAACAGGATGATTTTGTAGGTTTCCGAAGCATCAGAAGCTCGAAGAGTAGGCGATGGCTGGAGAAAAGCGGCAAACATGTTGGCCCAAACCTCACATTGAAACCGAATATGAAAGCCAGATCACTACAATTCTGTATTGGATCAAATTAATTCCGTCGCTTTGGAGTGAATTGTTAGAGGTACGTTGGGAGAGCTTAGCAAAAATCTCATGATTTCTTTGTCATTGCGAAATAATTCAAAATAATTTTATCAAAATTAGAAGCTGTAGTGTGTGAATCTTATGGCTTGCTATTTGCCTGGTCTCTTTTAGCGCATTATCTCAGAGCTCTTGGTAAAAAAAGTGGTATAAAGCTTACATTTTACTAGGTTAAAATTTTAAGGCAATGTTTTTGTCAGGACTGCACACGGCAAGCTTCGGTTTCAAATAATTGAATTCGAGTCTTGATCAGTTTAAGAAGAACATCATTTTATTTATTTATGTATTCTTCAACTTTAAAATATTATGGAACATAAAGTTAAAACTCTTAACAGCCAAAGGTAAGAAATACGAAATTACTCGCTGAAATGATATGTGGCCGGCTTACCGAGTCTGCCGAGTAGCAAGTTGAAATTTTGAGCGTACTCCTCTAGATCGCTCCTGCATTTATACCTAAAAATAGTTCTAATTGATGTCCTTCATTGATAAAGACCTGAGAATAACTTCCTGGCAAACAAAAACCAAACATAACTTCATCGAAACCTCAGTCACCTCTTCTTTCCTGTCTTCCTTTTTTCCATCTCGACTTGAACTGTTGTGTTCAACGGCAGACGTCTCTTGCGTTAACAGTTGCAAGTTGGGCATATATCTGTCGCTTATTTATTTTTTTCTTGCCACCAAGATTTGTTTATATTTCTGTTTCACCGAATTGCAGTGAGCTGGCTTTCGTGCTCGGTTTCAATGTGAAGTTTGGGCCAACATGTTTGCCGCTTTTCTCCAGCTATCGTCCACTTTCGAGCTTCTGATGCTTTGGAAACCTACAAAATCATCCTGTTTCCTTGAAGATATACGCGTCCCTTTTGATTGCAAACAGCAAATCGCTACTAAACATTTAAAGCAGAATACATCCCAAGTAATTGTATTTAAAAAGAAGTCCGTACAAAGTTATTTTACGTGAAATCCGTGCTAAACACTCTGCAAGTTCACTGAAAGTCTTCATTTGCAATTTTTGTTTATCCTCCAACGCCTCGCTTTCATGAATAGGCACCAGTTTTTTCCCGCGTGTCCTCCATTTGTGAATACGGTGTATGAAGCTGGTAAAGCGTTTTGTCGTTTTAAATGATGAGAAAAAATGCATTGCGACTCTAAACATGCGTTGATTCTACGTGAATAAATTGAACCGATATTAATATCGAGATATTCGGCGACCCACCACTGACGAGGGCGGGAAAAATGGAAACTGTGCCCTGGTGCATAATGCGACAGAGTGCACACGCAAATGCGCGGGAACAAACTAAACCGGTGCAAAAGCGCGGGAAAACATTTATTGCAAGATTGGTATTAGATTTGTGCATTTATGGCCTTATGGGTCTATTCGTTATTTTGAGTGGCTTTTAATGGTCATCTTACTCATCTACCCAGTACTGGTAACGTAAACGAGCTGTTTATAGGCCAAAATAATTCGCGATTTTCCTCTTTTTGCAGGTGGAAATCACCAACTAGCTGAACGCACAAGACAGGAGCTCGAACAGTTAGACTCACAGATAGAATACCACAGATTTATGGCGCAAAACAGATACAACCACAACCCGCCTAGATGACACTTGGTTGTCTTCAGTTGTAAAAGTTAGTCTTCGATCGGAGAAAATGGGAGGGTTCCAGCTGAATGGAACAACTGCAAGGAAATATTATGAATTGCGGAAGTTGAAATAAAACGTGTAGGATAGTTTAAAGAATAGTTGTACATATTATTTACCTTGGGTATTAAAATATTTCAAATCATTTGGTCACACACATGTGGCAAATAAAACTATTAAGTTTATATCAAATTTATATGAAATAAAGATATATACATGCGTCGTTTTTGTCAAGTGTTGTTTTTTAGCACTTCGCTTAGAGAGTATACAGATCTCAAAATCAAGCGAGCCAATCCAGGCAATCCATACACATGTTAAAGCCCAGATTTATCCTCCTATTCAGCGACTCTAACAAAATGGTAGTAGTGTGAAAAAATGGTTATGAAAGCTGGTGAAATTCAAACACAAACACCTCGGTGCTGTCATGTTTATGATTTGGGCTCCCTGACTATACGCCATCTTTTGCTTGTAATAAGGTTCCCGAAGTGTTGGAATCCTATTTCACATTGTGCACGGTAAAGGCCAAAAAAAGTAATGTGTCGGATGTCATAACCATTGCCATCTATTAAATAGGTGGGGACAAGGGGGTGCAAACCTTCTGCCGACCGTACCTTGATTGCCGGCTCCAGCCCCTATTTCTTCCTCCCTTCCTTGATCCCTCTTTCGATTGTGAAATGTTGGGCGCTGTTTCGTAATTCCCCTCCATTTCTCCCGCTTCTAACCCTTTTCTCAGTACAGTTCCCGTACCCATCCCGCCCACGATTGTCCCGAGCTCCCACCCCCTATCTCCGCCCATCCCACTAACTATAAAGAAATAAACAACTGCATGCAGTCTAAGCAACATCGGAACTATTCAATTACCAAACGATTTTTTCCAGATCGTTGACAAGATTCTACCATGGGTCATTTTGAGTCGATCAAAATAGTTATCAGTGCAGTACAAAAGTGAATTGTCCTGCATAGGAAGTGTCATGGCCTGGCCTACAGTGAGACATTTCAGTCATACATACAACTTTATTAGAATCTGGTTCTTCTAATATATAGTTTTTACACACGTTATATGGAGATTGTGTACGTATATACATATTTACAATGAAGCAAGGCGTTAATTTAAAGTTTTCACTCTAGGAAGATAAGAGTTTTCAGCGTTTATCGCGAAAAGACAGAAAACACACAAACCTAAAAACAGTTTCTTTTCTGTACTGTACGAAGCCTATGCAATTAAATAAAATCTGTAACAAAACTGGTTTTTAGCTGGTACTAACTGTCCCCTCTCCCTCGGTTAGAAAACCCAAAACCTGTGCGGCAAAATTATCCGCAGTTATGTTCTCTGGCAGATGCTCTCTTAACAGCTCGGCTGCGTTAGATGCGTCGTAAGTCCCAGTCTCCGCGCTACCACCTAATTCTCCAATACCCAATAAGGTGGACATATACTCGGCCATCTCGCCTTCCGTCATGTGCTCGCCTATAAAAAGCATACCAAAAATTTTTTTCAAGAAGTACAAGAAACGGGAATAGTTGTGGACGTAAATAATGAAATCTTAAGGTGGAGCTTTTGTCATATTAAAAAACGAATTTTCGACCAAGTATGATCAACTCCCCGGGTCATTCCCTCATCCTTTTCAATACCGATCTGCCGATCTTGTCACATTGAGTATGTCACATTAACAATTAAGATTCTCAGAGAGGCGCCCCGCGGACACGGTTGGGCAGGTCGTAAAAGTACTGGGCCACTGTCGACCAAGACGCCCACCCTTACTAGCATAACGTAACATCCCCGAAATCTACACTACATGATTTGAGAAATCGACACGCTCGAAAGAACAAGGTGTCAGACAACGGCTCTGAACTGGAACTGACCCGAACTTATTTGAGCGTGAGGGGTGGTTTTCAACTGATTACACATCAGTGTACTGACTGAGAGTTCAGAGACTTCTTCCTTTTTAAATTTCCTGACTATCGTTAGTCCCATACCTTTGTTCTGGAGCAGAGAAAGAAGTCTGTCACGGTCAATAGCGAAACCCTGGTCACCTGGAATTCCCAGTTTGTTAAATGCCTCGTGCAAGTCAAACGGCGATAACCCGAAGGCTGGACGATGGTTAACGTACACTGTAACATAACAGAGGAGCTTTTAGGTTGGAAATACGATGTACGATAAAGCCTCACATGGGTTTTTAGTTGAACGTCAAACTAAAACCATTGTGATACCTATGACCAATCACAACACGCACATACTATAGCCCTTTGCAATAGTTGATCACGTGAAAAAAAAACTTTCTGTAGACACGAAAACAGTTCACTTTTGGAAAATTTTGTTAGCAGGAACTGAAAGAGCATATTAAAGTTAGGTAACCTGTATATTTTCAGCCGTACATTACCAACGGCCCCCGAAATTTGGAATCTCAAATTTACACTTACTCTGTTGTGAAACCGTTGTGTCTGACGGCATAGTAAAACGTTGGAGTTTTTGTTGTGTTGCAAGTCAGCGAGTGTACCACGTTTTAGTTATTTGTACAATACTTACGTCTAATGAATTGACCAAGATCGATTTCAGTAACGTATTTCCCAGTAGCAACGTAGTCACGAAATTTCAATTCGTTAATCATGTCATCGATCTGGAAAAAAAACGAGAAATTCAATAGAGGAAATTCTCCAGAAATGAACTACAATCGACGACAAAATTGTTGAGACACTGTCCTAAATGAGGTAACTTCCGAGAACACAAAACAGTCCACACCCCTCCTCCCCTCCATTCAAAGTTTTGGTGTCCGTTGTTTCCAACAGGTTGCACGAACAGCACTACAGCTTTGCATGGAGGAGGTGGGCGGGAAAGTTTTATATTCTCCCTTTTAAAGTTGGCAAAACGTCAATAAAAACGTCTAATAATTTTGTCACCGACTGTAGCATTGAAGGATCCCTTCCAAGACTAGAAATTCTGTTGGATTCTTAATAAGGGAAGAGTGCTCTATTTATTGCGAACAGAAACCCTATGACATCTTTGGAATTTCTACATTGTGGGAAAGACTTCGAAACCTTTGGATATATTCGACTGTCTGATCAACCTCTTAAGGTTCCAAGACAAACTTGATATAAATCCGTTAATTCTCAGGACATGCTGACAATCACATCCCAGAAAAATTACATATTATTTTGATCTTGTGCTACCTTAGACAAGTGTGCAATGACCAAATTGTAATAACATACCTCCTGTTCGGTGGGGTAGAACCCCAAGGCTCGCATAATGTAGGGCACTTGAGCCAAAGGAACTTTGGTCGATACCTGCCTGGTGTCTGTCGTGTCCACACCTTGGCTAAAATAAGAAAGTCACAAGGGGTAGGGCATTGAATTTTTTTTTTCGCTATTTGTAAGCTCTAGTCATTATAGCTCCGCCAATTTACAAATTTAATTATCAAATTGGCGGACGGAGTGACATATCAACCAAATTGAGGCCACGTAATCATATACAGGATAAAGCAAAGATAACTTTTGAGCATAATAAATGAGAACATTACAAAGAAAAAGGTCTTCCAAGAAAGATCAGTGAACAATCTAAGAGAAACTGACCTTCTAATCTGCGCGTAATAGAAATAATCCTCGAGTTCAGCAAACAGTTCACCTTCTCGACCACCCTCTAAGAGGCCATAAAATGGGATCAGGCCCTCTCCTCCAAGGGCGGCCGCCGCTTCCAGTGCACTAAAGGAGAATGGAAACAAGGTTGAAATAAGTAAGATTATCATACATTGTACTCACTATCTATCTTCCCACTGGCTAAGAGCTAAAGTCAATTTTAGAAATCAACGTAACCTACGGATTAGTTAGTTATCTGCTAGCAGATAAATGACCAATCTCTAGGTTGCGCGCGCAATGCGTGATTTCCAAGAGCACTGTAGGACGGTGTATTTGCCGTTATTTATTTCAAAACAATTTATAACACGGCAGTTATTAGATTCGGTTTTTGTGATATCCGGAAAAATCGAGGTCTAGGTAAGTGTTACTGAGCAGCCTCGGCTTTCGGCTCGGCTGCTGACATGATTATTCCGGACATCAGAAAAACCTCATTCAATAATTGTTTAAAATCTTTCAACCTGAACCTAAGTATGCTTTTCGACTTTTGTGATATCCATACAAGAGATAGCCCTCAGATCCTTTACTTGTTGAGCACTGCACCGTATGACTCTTAGTTTGGCTATCGAACACGCTCCTTACGTTAAACACTTACTCTAGGTTAATGTCCCACATCAATACACTGCAGTCTTCTCCACCAGCAGTGAAAACGTATTTCCCATCATATGAGCACACTAAATTAGACACCTATGAGAAAGAAAGAAAAAACAGTAACAAAAACAAATGCAGCTATTGCAGTCATAGCTGTTTTAAAGTGACTTCAGTTCTACTCCCTCGCCTAAATATCTCTCTCCTAGTGTGTGAACTCTTGCCTCAGAGCACTTTCACTTTCAAATGGCAAGGTTGCTCGCATCCTGACATTTTGGTTTCGAGATCCTACTAGTAAATTGCACCTCGTGTGGTTATTTGCCATATAAATAGATAATTTGGTGTACTTTAAATAAAAAGTACACTTTATCAAGGTTACTGACCACCTCTGAATGTTCTCTCTCAATTTTCTAGCGTTCGAAACACAAGTTTTTATTTCGTCTTTTTGCACAAAAGTCAATACATGAAATCTCAAATGACAAAACCAACTTTATTTTTAAGAAAAAAGTAAAAAAAATTAAAAAAAGCTAAGCAGATTTTATAAGGCGGGGACAAAAATAGGTAAAGTTAGTTTAAAGCACATAAATCTAGCTCAGAAGATACAAGCCGGTATGATGCTTAAGAAAAAAGACTTACGCCTTCTGGATGAGCTATTAACGCCATGGTTTTGTGTGGATTGCCATCCAACGGTAAAATCTGGAGGCCAACCTGAAGAAGGACAGCAAAAAAAGATACAAACACTCTCGTCCAAAGCATTTTCTTCGCAAACAGGCAGTAGGGAGCTTTAGAGAGCTTTACAGAGGACGTAAACAAGCGACGACGAATTTTTCTTTCTCTTTCTAAACTTGGGTGCGGTCCTCAAGAAATCAACTCCAGGGAAATTTGCCCACATTTGACATTTCAAACGAATTGGAATAAACGCGGAAAAGTTTGAAAAACGAGAATTCATTTTCAAAGTGACGTTTTCGCCGTCGTCGGTGCTTAAGCTCATTTTTACACACTTTACCTTGTCTAATGTGATGTAGGCAAGATATCGCGTTGTTCTGTCCTCATATGATGGAAGCACGATTAGTCTGAGAATACAAACCACAATAAACCAGTCAAGTTATAATAAAGAGGATTTTCATTGAAGGCAGCCCGCGTGGCTACCCTGGTCCCAGAGGTTTTTCGCGAAATTATTCTCTCCGTGACAGAGAGCGGAGGAAGGGGGGGGGCTCTCAAGAGGAGAAAAATTCCAAGAAAAATCTACGGGACCAGGGTACCTGCGTAGCAAGCATTTCCGCGCGAGTCCGTCAAGAAAGTTGACGAGATGCGAAATAGAGGGACGAAGAGGGAGAGGGAGGGGAGCCCTCACACCCCCGCCCCCTTTTTAACATTTTTTTTGGTTTTATTTTGCTCTCGTTCTACCCTGGTTTCCAAATGTTAATTTTTTTCCTTCTAAAATTCCTGATAGGTCACCGTGAGCACGGTTTCTTTCATCTACAGTCACACCTCTGAAGCCAGGGTATTCTCGTTCCAACTTTGAGCCAGTAAATTCATCGGAAACGATAGCTACAAAGGCTATATTGAAGGTTATTCACGATTGCTTTGGGTTTACATAAAGCAAGGCTAATTAAAGTGATATCAATGTCAAACTCCTCTGCTTGAGCTCCCTATGGGGGAGGGAGAAGATTGAAAAAGGATCATACTGATGACGTAGGTACGTAAACTAATACGGGCAAGACATTACGTAAAAACAAGTACCTCCTGAGAGGGGTCCCATATGTTGGTCCCAGCAGCGTTTGTCTACACATTTTTGTAGTCGAGTTGTATAGCTTCAGTTTAAACTGCATAGAGAACAAAATAACAAATCAGTGGTGAAAAAGGAAATGAAGAAACCTTTTCAATCAACCCCTCTCTATTAATTTTGACTCTCCTACAAGAGATCTATTACCTGATCGTTAGCCACTAAAAGGAAGTTCTCCTTGACAATCGGTGGATACCAAGCAAAGCACTGAGGCACAGCACTTTGTTCAATTCTCTCTGAGCTGATAAGACGGAGGTCATCAGTGCTGCTGTTTAGAAGATCATACTCCACCTTGTTAAAAACAAATGACAAGAAACATGTAATCGGACCTCTATTTTGTTAGCCTGCTACACAGGCGTTCTTTGTGTCGTCACGCAATGCTCCTCCCCGCAGGAGGGGAGGAGCATTGCATGACGACATAAAAGAACGCCTGTGGAGCAGACTACTATATTGAAGTCATCTCTAAGACAAGGGTAGGAGGGTCCCTTAGCAAAGCTTGGCAACATACAGTAACCATGTTAACTCGACCACATGTTCAGACATTTCACGTGATGCAATATGATTAAGAAACTAAAACATTATTTAAACATGTTTAAGCATTGGTGTGAACGAGGTATAGGAATGTGTTGAGTGGACATAATAATTACCGGCTCATTTTTCTGCCACTACGAGAAGAATATTCAAGTATGCATACAACTGACAGCATATGAATTAGCCTCCCCAATGAACCTCTAAGGAAACGAGCCATTAAAAAAAGTAGACCAGTCACAGAGCAATTCAAAAGCTAGGAGATGAGCACTCTAGACCTCGATAAATTTGGCACGAGACTCCAGTAAGTCCATATATTTCAGAAAAAATTCAAAAACCCCTCAGTTAAATCTTTCAATGACAATATACACAACTTCAAAACATGCCTCCGTGACCAAGCCCTAAGAAAGCCTGCGTTGAAGGCTACTATGAATAAAACTACTGAAGACAGTGTAAAAGGATATACACATACCAGAACTCTGTCCTGGCCAAGCGACAGAAGCCAAGGTATGTCACTATCAAGAGCAATACCAAAGCTAATATCTGTAGATAAAAAAAATAATAATCGAATCAATAAAAGAATGAAGGTCTTTCTTTGGTCATATGGAGAGCTGTCCATTTCAGTGCAGACTCAACCACATGAGGCTAATTTTCAAGGAATAAAAACATATTTACCGTAAATCCTCGATTAAGGCCACCTCTTAAATAAGTACTCCCTCTTTAATAAGCCCCCCTGTTTTCTGGGGAAGTAGTTACTAGTGCCCCCCTCTCCGCCTCTCTTTAGTCCCCCTTCCCTTATTTCATGTGCTTGAAATAAATAAGCCCCCAGGGGGCCTATTAGAGGATTTACAGCATAAAATTTGGGGGATACTGGAAACACTGAAGCCTTTGTTGATATTTTTACAAACAACAATTTTCTAAGGGTGTTACTAGAGTCTTTCTCACCATGAATAGTTTTGTAATGAGCTCTCTGTTTGCCAACATAAACCCAAGGTTGGTCTGTATCGTCTTTCTGAGCCTTGAAAACTGTTACACAGCGGTCTAGATCCTGAGGGAAAGGACATGTCATTAAAACTTCTAAAATTATAAGACAGGCTAATGACCTACATCACCATCTTTAGTCATCGAGCAAGGCTACTCCCCTTATGACCTGAACACCACCAGTGGCTAAGGTCCAAGATATCAGTAACAACCATTCCATTATGCAAGGTGGGAAAGAAATAAATGCATATAAAGCCTTGTCAATAACCTCTGGAGCCTTGCTGGAGCCCAAAGAAAACCTGACAATTTTTATAACCTTGGGCTATGACCCTGTAAACTCATTTAAACTGGCCATACAATATTTCAATCAAAAACAATTACTGCGATCAAGATCTACCTTGGTTTCACTTGTAATTTTTTGCGTGATGGAGAGACAAAAAGTAAGGTTTGACTGAAATACAATCAACCAAAAATGCCACATGATCATATTTTTTAACGCGAGGCAGATTTACACAATTGACTGGTCTTACATTAATGTGATATGATTACTCACACTGGTCGCTAAGTAGTTTGAGTCATGAGAGAATTTGATGTTAGTGATGCAGTCATGGCAATGGTTAAACACGGCAAGTCCATCTCCACGCCCCTCTTCCTTCAGTGTCAAACCATCAACAATACGTACACTGCCATTAGTGAATCCAATAGCTGAGAATAAACACAAAAAATGTTAAACTATAATTATTTAACCACCAATGAAATATCAGGTAAGCTTTCGTGAAAAAATGATATCTTCACACAAGAAAATAACAAACTGTAAGTAATCTGAGAACCAACCTAAAAGATCTCCAGTTGGATTGAAAGTCATGCACTGAATCATCAGCTGGCGTTGGTCAAACACCCGACTTGTCAGCAGTTCTCTGTCAGACAACACAAAAAACATTTTAAAACTCTTAAATACTTTAAAAATTCAAATGATCTGTTTGGATCAATAAACTCAGTCTAATCCCACTATACTGGAGATTAAACAGTTAACAGACCAATTGCATTGCAAATGTGATGGTGAATTTTAGGCCTGGTGAATACTAAGAAAGGTGTTTTTTCAGTTAGTGACACAGGCGGCTCAGAAGAAAAAATCTGAGTACTCCCAACTGTTTACTAGTCCAGATGCTCTACCACTGAGCTACAGGACACTCATGGGAGCTAAGGCCACTAAACTACAATAGGTTCATGTGACAAACATGAACAGAATATCCACTTACTTTTTCTCATAATCCCAAAGTTGGAGTAGGCCTGAAAAACTTCCAATACAAAGTCTTGGCCTGAAATGATAACAACAGCTGTTTAACCGTGATAAATTTGGAATAAACTAGGTCAAAGATCATGGAATCCAACATGATATTAAGGGTGATGCTGCTGTTACTTGACGTGCAGTATAAAATACTCACTCTGAGGGATGACAAGCTATTGCATGAGTATCACTGTCATGCTCCTTGTGAATAAACTGCAATCCAAAATCAACAGAACAGTGTGTTATAAAAGGCGCTGTGTCACAAAATTCACCAAAACTTAAACAGTGCAAACCGCTACCGAACTGAGAAAAAAATTTTTGATACGTCCTCAAAACTCAAAAAGATGGTATAAAAAGCACAGCAAATACAAAAAGGAGGAATGGACAAGGAAAAGATTGAAATGGATTACAATTGTGGTGTTGAAAACTTCTTAGCCTAACAGTTTATTAAAGTAACTTTTTTGTTTGTAAGATTCGATATAAGGCACAGGAGACATGTTTGCTTGACATCAGGCTGTAAGTTTGCCATTCACAACTTCCATAGCAAAAAAGGTCATGTAATTGGCATTACCAACAAAATGAACTAGACAACTGTGAAAAAGCTTCTTCAAGTGTGCTTACTGGACTTTCTGATAACAACTTTCTTTTTAACAGAAAAGCTTTACTTAAGGGTCGATCAGTTTAGCTAATACAGCTAATTGGGGATAATAAAAGCAAACCCTGAATAATGTAGATGACTGAAAAAGAAACATTCAGTGATTTTCCTATCTGGAAACCTCATTAACAGAAAGTTCATACCTGAAGTTCACTTCCATTTGTAACAAAATGAGCTACGTTGGCTGTTGAAGTACTGATCACAAAATCATTCACCAAAAATGGACTGCCATCTAAAGTTGAGCTAGCAGGAAAGTTTGTTTTTTCCTGTGGAGTCCTAAAAAGGAAATATACACATTATTAATAAATAAATTCAGCATGTTTCTTCATCATACTTGTAAAATGACTGCAACACACTAGTAAACTGGAATATTTTTTTATCTCAAAAAGACCTGTGAACTGAATTACTGAAGATTCAAGTTTGGGAATCAAGGTACAGAAAGTTTTAACTGCAGTGGGCTTTTCCTTTTCCCACAAAGGCTGTCAGTAGTTGTGCTCTCAAGCTACCGGTAATAACAGTTTACAAAAAATACTGCTTTATAAGTTCTAGACTTACTGTGCATCAGCTGGTTTGGGTGAATAAGAAAATGACACTGCATTAATTGGTCCTGCATTGAAGTGTTTGTACCTGTAAATTGTGGTATATAGGAATGACTAAAACAAGGAAGGATTTAGAGGGCAAAAACAAAAATTATAGGTGAACAAGACAGGTCAGTGAACTGAAAAAAGCAGTGATGAGAATGACATCCAACAATAAAATTATTATTATTTTTATTTTCATTACAACTACTACCACTACTACTACTACTACTACTACTACCACCACCACCACCACCGTACCACCACTACTACTGCTACTACTACTACTACCACTATTATTATTATTATTATCATTATCATGATGTCATTATTATTATCATTATTGTTATCATAATTATTCTTATTATCATTATCATTATTATATTGTTCCAGAAAATACTCAAACTTCCTCCACTAGAGGGTTCATTTGGTTTGAGCCCTCTCCCTCTAAAAATACTAGTTTTGCTTAAATATCAGGCTGAAAGCCTGAAGGAAACTTTTCCAGTGACCCTGCATGAGGTAGAGGTAGATATTTTCTTGAATCACTCATTTTAATAAACAGTGCTAATTATCCCAACAACGTTCCACAAAAATACTTGCCACCATCACTAAATTAATGTAAAGTGACAGTAGTGATGGCTCAATGCCCACTTCCCCACCTACTTTTGCATTCTTCATTTAGACATGTTTCAAAAGACAAATCAGTCATACCAATTTGTAAGCCTCAGCTGCTGATCGAGAAATCGCACATGACCAGAAATGTCACCTGTCACAATGTACCTAGAATAAAAGGATATTATTATAATTTAATTAGTTACCAAAACTTTGAAAAACATGGTATATACCCTACCCAGTAAATACATCTACCCCAACAATACTACACTAGACAGCCTTACTACAACCTTAAAGGGTTGGTACATAACTCTTGGTCTTTAAGTGTGACACTAACTCTGAATAATTAATTTTTAGAAAATACAGAATTTGATTATGGTGCTTTTGTTACTGTAATAAAAAGAATGAAGATTGAAATGTCTTGACAATATATTGAAATTTGACCCAACTGAATTTTTCTTGCACAAGAGGTTGGACTTTCAATGGCAGCACAAGGTTGGCCTAATTTACATTTTGCTGATTTCGAACTCTTTTGTTTTTTATTGCCATCGTAATATCAGTTTTACCAGAAACTGTTTGATTTCAAACTTCAATCCAAAACCAGTGAGTGATGCAAATTAATGATGATTTCACTTAGGGAGGGCCACCTTCCTGTAACTAATAAGGAATAGTGTATAGCACAGTCTTCTAAAAACTGTATCAAAACACCTTAATAACACGTCTTTGATTCTTACTTGTCAGTAGTAGTGAGGACTGTAAGACCTTTTTCCTGCAATTTGACAATCTTGAAGGCTTTTCTGTTGCACTTGAGGTCGCCCCCAGCATGTTCCCAAACTACAATGTTACCACAGCTTGTGGCAGTGAGGGCTCTGGGAGACTGAAGCTGAAAAATGGACTGACTGTACAGGCCGACACTACGATTGAAGTCCTGAAAGCAACATTTGAAGTCAGAACCATTAGACATTTTGATTGACAATTTATATTAAGAGCGTTTTTAAAAATTAAAACAGTAACTTCTCTCTATGTCTATGACTACTTTTCCCTTAAATTTTGATTTTGACCACTCTTAGGAGTTCAAAAGTTCAACAACTGATCATAAGTGCAAATAAATAGCATACACTGTATTTCCGAAAGTTTGCAAAACAACAATGGATTCACAAATTACCTTGTCTGTAAGGGGTGGAGCAACATACTCCAGGGTCTTGTTATCCTAGACGTTAGATAAAAAGGACAATTTATTCATGATTAAAGCAATTAAAGTCACAACAAAATTCCCTACATATCCCCTTATCTGCCCAACTGAGTAACAGAATTCTCATTTAGTTTCAAGTAGATGGCTACAAAGTAAAAGTAGGTGGCTTGGTAACTGAATGCTGTATAGGCATTTTCAGGCTTTCACTCTCTCTCTCTCATTACCCTATTTCCCTAAAGAGTAGACCACTCAAACCTCCAAGTTGCTGGCTTTTTAACCGGCTGTTGGCACTTAATGAGAACCCTGGAGTAAGAATTGAGTTTACATGAAGCAATTTCATTTTTCACATTAAGCTAGAAGAAACTTAGGCATGGATGACCTCAAAACAATCACAAAGCCAGCACTGCCACTGTCATTAACCAAGCATTCTTTGTGGTAGCCTTTCAGACTTTGAAGGGCTACTATCTGCTAACAGCCTCACATGCTCTTTGACCGATCAGCTTAATGATCCTTGCAGGTAACAAAGATATGGAAATTATTGTTGATCACTGCATAATTCCTTCCCAACAAGCAGGTACATATAGGTCAGGTGCACTGCAAGCATTCCACAGATTTTATCAGTGTGAGGTTATCTTGTGAATGTACAAGTACCTTCCAGGGTTGTCAAGGTCACCTTCGAGCAGTGTTGCAATTTGCACTCAAAGATTAACTATCTTACATGCAAAATACACCAATGGAAAAAGCTAGTTTTGACATGAAAAGCAATAAGAAAACTCTTTCATAAATAAAGTTTCATCACAATCTTTGAGCTTACCCATGCATAAAAGACCACTTGCGACTCACTGTTGCTCACAAGTTGACTTGTGTCTTCAGGGTTGAATGTGATATACGTCTATTGAAACAGAACAAAAACTAAAACATCACTTGATAGTAAATAGGTTTTGAGGACTTAATACCATCAGTAAAATGTACCAGGATATCATTAGAACAGATTCATTCTTTATCTCTGACCTGCTTTCCAAAGTTGTCATCCAATGTTGCAGAACAAACAGGTGTGTCACCATTATTGGTCCAATCCCACACAGACACAGTCTAAAGGAAGAAACACTTTCATTAATGTTACAATAATGAAACAGACTTGGTGTAACATGTGATTAGTGCGTCTGCAGGCTCAAAGAAATTGTACTTCAGTTAGTTACACAGATGGTTTTCTCTTGTGCAGTTACAGTTTTACAAAGAGCCACATTTAACAGGAGTTTCTCATCAACTCAGTGTTGACGCCATAACTGTTTTGATCTGTTCCATTACAAAGAATTTCCTGTTAATCAGCTCACCAGTTTTACCTGTGATAGATGCAGGAAAGTCAATTAATCAGTTTTTAGTTCCAGTTCCAGTTTCAAACCAGAGATTTATCGTTTATGGGAAACCAGCAACAGAAGTAAGTTTCAGTTTGCTATCTTGTATTTTCAGTTCAGTTTTACTCACTTACACTACGATTGAAGTCCTGAAAGCAACATTTGAAGTCAGAACCATTAGACATTTTGATTGACAATTTATATTAAGAGCGTTTTTAAAAATTAAAACAGTAACTTCTCTCTATGACTATTTTTCCCTTAAATTTTGATTTTGAGCACTCTTAGGGGTTCAAAAGTTCAACAACTGATCATAAGTACAAATAAATAGCATACACTGTATTTCCGAAAGTTTGCAAAACAACAATGGATTCACAAATTACCTTGTCTGTAAGGGGGGGAGCAACATACTCCAGGGTCTTGTTATCCTAGACATTAGATAAAAAGGACAATTTATTCATGATTAAAGCAATTAAAGTAACAACAAAATTCCCTACATATCCCCTTATCTGCCCAACTGAGTAACAGAGTTCTCATTTAGTTTCAAGTAGATGGCTACAAAGTAAAAGTAGGTGGCTTGGTAACTGAATGCTGTATAGGCATTTTCAGGCGTTCATTCTCTCTCTCTCATTACCCTATTTCCCTAAAGAGTAGACCACTCAAACCTCCAAGTTGCTGGCTTTTTAACTGGCTGTTGGCACTTAATGAGAACCCTGGAGTAAGAATTAAGTTTACATGAAGCAATTTCATTTTTCACATTAAGCTAGAAGAAACTTAGGCATGGATGACTTCAAAGCAATCACAAAGCCAGCACTGCCACTGTCATTAACCAAGCATTCTTTGTGGTAGCCTTTCAGAGTTTAAAGGGCCACTATCTGCTAACAGCCTCACATGCTCTTTGACCGATCAGCTTAATGATCCTTGCAGGTAACAAAGATATGGAAATTATTGTTGATCACTGCATACTTCCTTCCCAACAAGCAGGTACATATAGGTCAGGTGCACTGCAAGCATTCCACAGATTTTATCAGTGTGAGGTTACCTCCTGACTGTACAAGTACCTTCCAGAGTTGTCAAGGTCACCTTCAAGCAGTGTTGCAATTTGCACTCAAAGATTAACTATCTTACATGCAAAATGCACCAATAGAAAAAGCTAGTTATGACATGAAAAGCAATAAGAAAACTCTTTCACAAATAAACTTTTATCACAATCTTTGAGCTTACCCATGCATAAAAGACCACTTGCGACTCACTGTTGCTCACAAGTTGACTTGTGTCCTCAGGGTTGAATGTGATATACGTCTATTGAAACAGAACAAAAACTAGAACATCACTTGATAGTAAATAGGTTTTGAGGACTCAAAGAAATTAAATACCATCAGTAAAATGTACCAGGATATCATTAGAACAGATTTAGTCTTTATCTCTGACCTGCTTTCCAAAGTTGTCATCCAATGTTGCAGAACAAACAGGTGTGTCACCATTATTGGTCCAATCCCACACAGACACAGTCTAAAGGAAGAAGGACTTTCATTAATGTTACAATAATGAAAGAACTCATACTCTTATTCGTGATTAGTGCATCTGCAGGCTCAAAGAAATTGTACTTCAGTTAGTTACACAGATGGTTTTCTCTTGTGCAGTTACAGTTTTACAAAGAGCCACATTTAACAGGAGTTTCTCATCAATTCAGTGTTGACGCCATAACTGTTTTGATCTGTTCCATTACAAAGAATTTCCTGTTAATCAGCTCACCAGTTTTACCTGTGATAGATTCAGGAAAGTCAATTAATCAGTTTTTAGTTCCAGTTCCAGTTTCAAACCAGAGATTTATCGTTTATGGGAAACCAGCAACAGAAGTAAGTTTCAGTTTGCTATCTTGTATTTTCAGTTCAGTTTTACTCACTTGAATCATAACAATATTGTAAATGCTCAAACCATTCAGTAATTGTGTGGTATGTAATTGTATTTCAGATGAATAATCTTTAATCAAATTAAATGATTGACTGTTTCCTGGTTGACATAACATTGTGTTAATTCTCCAACAGTCCAATTAACTTTACTGTTAATAGCAAGCAAGAGAGGGTGTGCTCAAGCCATGTAGAAGGCTCTCATAGCTATAGGAGAGCTTTTCACAGTTTGTGAGGTATAGCAAACCAAAAAGCATTGCTATTAAGTTTCCACCTTGGATGGGATGCTTGATAAGGATAAAGTTACTCCAGACAATAATAAATTTAATTACACTGAGCTTGTATACTTTTTACACCACCAAGGTAAACAGAGGCAATGTCTATAAAGAGGAAAATTTGTATAGGTAATAGCATGATTTGTAGTGATATTTGGCATAAATACCATGAGTGATATTTCGAAATTGTTGTACGTAATTTCATGAGCCATTAGGCGAGTGAAATTTGAGACAATTTTGAGATATCACGAGTGGTATTTATGCCAAATATCATGTACAAATCATGCTATTATTTGTTTATACTACTACCCACAAAAGGTTTGTAATTTTCACATGTAGGTATTTCAAATTAAGCTGAAATACCACTGCTCTAAGCTAATCAAATTGCAGAAATTTCTCACGTAGTAGTATAAATTTTCTAATAAGGAGACACCAAAAAGCTTAACTGTTGACCTCCATACCTGACTCACTAATCACTTATCCAAAAAAACCACAGTGCGTGAAGTGATGTAATTCATTAAATCAGGTCAAACACATAGCTTCTTTTAATACAATTGCTCAGGGCAAGAGCTGAGGCATTTTTTTATCAACAAGCCCTAAGCAAAATGTGTAACATAGTTGGTTAACAGACACAACTATTCAATGACAACAGCAACTAATTAAAAGGAAGTCATGACATAGAGAAACCAAAAACATCACATTTATCTCAGGGCTTGAAAAAAAGTCCCTTCCACTAGTCCAGGACCAGTAAAATATTCTAGCTGGGCGAGTAGCTTTTAAAGCTTACTTGCCCAAAGGGTAAGGGTCTAGGCAAGTCAACCTCTCACGAATGCATAAACTAAGAGGAGCAAGAAGTGGCTCCAGGCGAGCAAAATAAGAGAGCTTCTTGTCCCAAGGACAAGCCGGAATTCAAGTTTTTTCAATCCCTGATATCATACAGGGTATGTTTAAATATTATGTACCTGTGGGAGTGTGCTGCTTATTGTTGCAATATACTTGGCATCAGGTGACATCGCAATAGCAGCACAGCCATCAGAATGTGCTTCAAATATAGTCTGAACTGGAATCCTGTGAGGCATACACATGTTAATGTGAACATAATACACACATAAAGAAGAGAGAATAATATTATATTAAACTAATCAACCCTGGCCTGTAAAAAAAACAACGTTATAATGTTATGTATTTGTTCTGATATTATGATAGGAACAAAATCAATCTAAAGGTTAACTACCTCACTGAAAGAGGAGCATGCTTGATCAGCTAAGCTTATCACACACACTTTGAACGACACACTTATTATAGTATGACATCTCTTTACAATAATACATTGTATGAATAATAATCATTACAATAATATTTAATTATTTTTACAATGATGTGAATGCTACGTACACTGTGATTGGTTGTTACCCATGATCTATCAGAGTACAGATAAATGGATGATGTCACGAGAAACTTGTTTTCCTTGTTTCGTTAACATGGTGCGCAGTTTTGAAATGTTTGTGATATAATTTTGAATGAAGCATGTGAAAGCCCCGTAAAAAGTTTAGCAGAAGCTAAATACAAAGAAGAAAAATTGGAGAAATGGAAACAGGAAGAGTTCTTGACAATTTGAGAATGCCTAAACTGCAAGAAATCTTCACATCAGTTGCCATCGTGTGTCATCGCTATGAGAGACTTGCTGTTTTGCAAAATGTTTTTGCCATTATTCTGCTTTGAGAAAGTCAAGACATTAAAACACTTTTTGAAGAAACTGTACATAAAGAAGAAAAGAAGTCAAGACCTAAAATAACACTTGAGACTTAAAATTAGCCAAACTAGCACAAATCCTTGAACAGTCAAGCGGCATGATGCAGGTAAGCTTATGTGTATCAGTCTTAACACTTTTCTGATCATTGTATAAAACAAATAATAGATTCCACGTTACCGTGGGTCTGTTCAGTAATAGATCACAGAAGACGTCAAAATGTGGTAAAAACATCAGTGACACATTTGCCTGCGGCTCGTGTGCCACTACTTTGTTTTTACCACATTTGACGTCATCTGTGATCTATTACTGAACAGACGCATGACAACATGGAATCTATTTGTTAAAATGATGATGATGATGATGATGATGATTATCGTGATTTTTGACAATCCATCTTATTTTCTCTGGAACAGTTTCAAAGACTCAACAGTACACCCCTAGAGTAATTTTATAGGAGTACCCCCAAACCCAGATCCTCCCTCCCCAGGGTGCTGAGCAATAACATGCTGTAAAATTCTGAAAATAAGCCCCTCCATGTATAAGCCCCTCCAAATATTAGCCCCCCAAAATCATAACCCAAAAAACCCTCCGTTAAATCGCCCCTCTGAATATACAAAGTAAAACAAAACAAAAACGATAAATTTCCTTCCCACAACAAGCTAGCCCAATTGATTTTGAAACGCAAATTTCCCTCCGCACATAAGCCCCTCCGAATATAAGTCCCTCAAAAAGGGCCTTTGAAAAATATAAGCCCCGGGGCTTATTTTCGGAATTTTACGGTAAGCTGGCGCTCTTTGTTGTTTACTGCAATAACTGCGTCTACAAAATATATTCTATAATCTTACGTTGTAAATGAGTCCCAAATGATGACCATACTGTCCTTGCCTCTGTCTGCTGTTGCAATCCACCTCCTGTCTTCACTGACACAAGTACAGCTGATAGCATTACACTTAGTAAACACATAGCAAGGAATAAAAAAGCACCATTAAAAAACTTAATAGTGCACAGCAGGGCTGTCATTAAGTTTCTAAGCACCCGTAACAACTAAAGATTCACCCGTAACATCTCATAATAATCTACAGTGCCATCCTTGGCTTTCCACTTTGATTACCCATAACATCAAGAGTGCTCAACCATAACAAGTGTTATGGGTTACAGTGCTTAATGACAGCTCTGCACAGCTCCCAAACGGGTACAAAGAAAAAGTATGTAGCGGAACAGATTCCATTTTCAAAATGGGCCATTGCATTAAATATCTGTACCCCGCCCTCCTGGTTGAGGACCAATGGAATTCTTCAGGGGTAAGTTATAAAAATTGAGGATTTTTTAACCGGCAGGGTGAAAAAATATGGACTTCTTCCAGGGAGAAGCTTTAATTTTCATGAAATTCTTCAAGGATTTACCCATATTCTTCAGTAGTTGAGCCACATTCTACAAGGGTAGTGCCATATTCTTCAGCAATTGACAGGGGGAAGATCCATATTTTATGGAAGTCTTCAGGGGTGAAAGCATTTTTTTTTTATCTTCAGGGGTAAGAGGAAAAGGTACAATGTAGGTCCGCAACCGGGAGAGGGGGGTACGGATATTAAATACAAGTGTGAAGCTTACATGCCCTTGAAGAAGCTGTTGTTTATTTCCTTCCCAGTCAAACATAACACCGACATGTGCACACACAAACAAGGCCACCTAAAAGCCAAAAAATTGTTTTATTAGGAAGCACCTTATCTGTATGGAAGATTCTTTACTAAAAATAGATTCGTGAACAATTTAATTTTCACTGTTACCTTTCGATTCCCATCTGACAAATTGTGAACAGGGACATGTTTGTTTACGCCAAACGACCACGACATATTCTGAGAAACAGAAGACGCAGCGTTACCTATAACCATTTACTCTTATGGAAAGAACTAATAGTGAGCTCAAGTATAAAGTGTCACTAAAGACTTACAAGTGACGTCGGAGAAGCTCTCACTTCGCCGTCTTCATACCCATGATCTTCTTCGTTATAATGAGAGGAGGCTGCGCTTGAAACGCGAGATTGTGCTCCAGATCTTTCTGGAGAATCTTCTTCCATTTCTTTGTATCGCACAGCTCTAAAAAGTGAGAGAGTGCTGTAAAACTTTGGATAGACGAGCTCCCGCCACTTGTTTTTGCGCCCTGAAAAGTTACTATGGTGAACTTGAGCCCTCAGTACGATCAGCTGATTAACTAAAGGAAGTACACGTATTGTAAAATATCACAGAGTGTCGCCTATGAGTTGATTTGTTTTCCATCTTTTCTTTTTCGCTGTGGGAAGGGTCTTAGAAAAACTACATGCCCAGCAGTCAGAAATCTGCTAGAATTTCTGTAAAATCCTTTTTACTAATCGTCCTTCATTTAGAATAGAGTATCATTTTCCAGGAAACTGATCAATTCGTTGAAGATTTTAGTCTAGACTGGGGACTGTGCCCGGGGTTGGGGGGGGGGGGGGGCC